GTTGTTTGGGTTTTTTTCCCAAGAATTAGTATTCATTTATTTTAATTAAGACTTCAGTTAACAAAACATATAACTGGGTGTAGCCTACCTGAACTGGAACAGCTGAATCAAAAGCAGACATCCTAAGGTTAGCGTACACTGTGTAGTCAGTATAATGCAGCCTTTATAAACGTTTTAATTGTTTTAAAGAAGACGTCTCTACTACAGACCATTAAAAATAAAAAATTACTTGCCTCAAAGGGGTGAGAAAGGATTAATTAGTTAGTGCTCATGCAGAACTATGAAGATACAAATCGTGGGACTCTGTTATTAGTAAGCAGAAGATGCCAACAGGAAGCAGCATTGTTAAGGGCACGAGGACTAACAATGGTTTTGTTCTCACATTTGTAAATGAGTCTTCTGCTATTGAAAGGTGTTGGCCTTTCAGCCTAGGAGGCTGAAATTCTCTTTCTTCACCCAAAAGAGCCTTCATGGGCTGTGCATACTTTCTCACACTCCCTCACTAGTGTTACTCACTCTTAGCTTATAGATGCTAGACAGTAGCCCATTCTCCATAGCCCTTTTATTGCTTGGCCTCTGCTTCAGCTGCCAAGAGGGGTGCCATTTAGACTCATTGTTATGGTAGCTTTTATGATCTAGACACGGTGTCTAGGATCGGAGACTTCCTAGCAATTTTGCATATGCTGCTGCGCTGCCATCAGAAGAGAAGGACTCCTAGTTGCCAAAATTCTGGGCAGAATTCAAAGCAGTGACCTACAGATGAAAGGCGCCCCATCTGGGCCAGCTATGCCATCCAGCCCCTGAATGCCAGCTCTTCACTGAATGAAAGTGTATTGTGATGTGATGCTCAGAAGGGAATAAAAGAAAAAGAACCAGTTTTAAAATATCTGTGGATAACAACTGTCTACAGCTACAGCTACAGACATTCAGACCTTGCTTACATAATATTTCTATCACGCACCATCCTCCCATCCAACTCCCCACCTCATGCCAAGGTGCTGGAGGGAGGTCTTGTTCTTATTTATGCAGCAATGAATACAAAATCAGAAACTTTCCACAGAAAGGTATGGTGCCTTGGCATGCTGGGGAAAATAGTAGAGCAAGAACAGTTTGTAAGTTAGGGGGAAGAGAAGGATTAAAGAAATTGGAATAATGGTATCCAAGTATTTCCTCTAAAAACAGGATGACTGCAGACCTTTAAACCCAAAGCACAGAGAGCAAAATATGCCACAGCAGAGCAAAGCATCTTTTCTCCCTACATTTGATATACTACTCACTTAGACAAGCAAAATCCTTTTTCACCCCATTGTCCTCAAGCTCCTTTTTCACCCCGTTGTCCTCAGCTCGTGCCACACATTTGACTCCTTCCCTCCCTTCTTGCAAACAGAGTACAGATGAGGAAGGTGATTTTGTCACCTGGAGTTAATTTATGCTGTTCACTGTGCTGTGCTGCTGTGCTGGGGTGGAATCTTTTCAGATGTTGGGATGATAGGAGAAAGAACAACGAAGCAGCAGAGTATGTGTGGCGGGTGGCCGAGTCATCCTATCACCACGTATTTGTGTAGTTTCTTTTAGTGCCATCCAATCTTTCCTTCTGTCCCTAAATGGCCTGTGTTGAAAATGTCCCTGCTTACAGTTGCTCAACTGGAATGAGGACAAATTGTTTGCAGTGGCCCCCTTCCAAATGCTTGTGCTGTAACTTTTGTCTTGACTAGTCTCTGGAGATATCTCTAGAGTGAGTTTCCTATGACTCGTTTGCGCTATCCCTAAGTCATGTCAGATTTTCTTCCTCTAGTCTTTCAACTTTGTGGCAAAAATCTTGTTTAAAACACCCTCATCACAGAAAAAGCCAGAGTAGGCAGAGACTTAATGTTGTTATGTCACAAGTTCCGCAATGAATTAAAAGCGAGGGGGTTGGGTCTCAAGGGTGCCTAAGGTTACAAAGTTGTTCTAGCAGACAAGGAGACCCACAAGCAGAAAAGGGGTGGCCACACCAAGCAGCTTTGAGTTACTAAGTCCTGGTAGTGTCAGGAGTGCATTGCCCTCCATACTACTACATCAGCCACTTTTATAGGTAGAAACGCCTGACCTCTTGGCCCTCCAGACTGCTTCAATTCAGCACTGAAGGGATGGTGAAGGTACTCTTGCCCCTCACATTCGCATGTGAATTAGTCCAGGATAACACAGCAGCAAAAAAAAAAAAAAAAAAAAAGGCATTAACACAGCCTGAAGAACTAAGCCAAGAAAGGAAGGGTTTATAGTTCCAAAAACCATTGGATGAAGTTTTGCACGTAGACTCATTAATAGACATTACAGAAGAAAAGGTTCATTCCTCCCCTCTTAGATGCACGACCTGTTAGATATATATGTATCAATAATATTCAAAGGCCATTGTGTGCTTGTTTTTAATGGCTGTTAAATATTAGTTTTTCATCAAAAGTACAATCTGCTTTTAGAAAAGAAATACAGAGTTAATGCTATGAAATGGTCTCTTTCGACACTACTAGGGCAGAAAACCAGGCCTGCATAAAACAGGCTGTCTCTTAACACGCTTTTCAGAAGATGATATGAGCACCCTCAGAGTGAGGGAGAGTGAAGCCTGGAGATGAGACAGCTATGGTTCCTCATGGAGCCTCTGGGTGTATTAGGGCCGTGATGGCGAGCAAATTGGGGGACCATCAGCCCTTCCTGTCCTTTGACTGGAAGTAACCAGCCAGCACAGACCTGTTGCAGGTTCCCTGGGGAGGGACTTTTCCCTGCTAAGCCTTCCCAGGGTCCTCAAATCACAGGGGAGCCCTCCTATGCAACCCCTCTCAAAGCATCTCAGCACCTTTTGCTTTGTGCCATGAGAAATGCAAGTGGGGAGGGAAAAAAGAGCAATGAAGTTTAGTGAAGGCATCTCATGGTTACAGTCATATGTTGTTCACTTTGCATATTGGTTCATGCATCACATTACAATGGCATCTCCTGCTCTATGGCTGTTTTCTAGTCTCTTGATTCAGCAAAGAGGGATAATCTCCACCAGACATATCCCTGTATCTCTGAGATAACATAACCAGCTAGAAGTGGACACAGCACAGCCGGCCAAGGCATTCCAGACACTAGGGGTTGCTCACTGTTATGAGGCTTAGCAAATACAAGGATTATGTATGACTTTGCAATTATTCTGGGGATTTAAAACCTTTGCCACTGACACTCTTTTTTTCTTTTTTTTTTTCTTTTTTTCTTTTTTTTAACAAAACCAGTGTCATACTGTGCCTCTGCCTGCCAGTTAGCCAGACAAATGGTTGCTTGTGCTGCATTGGGATCTCATGAAACCCTAAGACTACTTTGTTTTTCATTAGCACTAGAGGGGAAAAATAAATCGGCTGGGCTCATGGTTTATAATTGCATATGTATTTACCACTTTAAGACCACTATTAGCAATACAAGTTAGCTCACTGCCCTTTATATCATCTCTGCAGTTCCTCTCAGAGCACACATAAGCCGTCTCATTTTTTGTCCATCATGCAGCCAGATTCTAATCTTGGATGTTCTGGAAGCAGTGTGATGTACCTCTAAAAATGATCTGCTCTGCTTGCAAACAGAGTGACCAATATTTGGAGCCATGCCTTGACATTCACCATGTAGTTGGAAGTAGAACCTGTCCAGGCTAATCTTTGGGTCAAATCCAGCTGGTAAATGTATAGCAGAGGAAGTTTTTGTAGAGTTACTCCTGGTTTGCTTTGTTTTCAGCATCTCAAAAGATCCACGGGAAGAGGTCTGCTGATACCAGGAAGGCAGAATCTGCTCTTGGCATGATTGGTTTCTTCCATATAAGTAGTAGGGAAGATGAGGAGCATATTGTCAATAAAATGCAGACGTTATTTACAATTCAACTTCTAAGAGCTGCCATAAAGTAGTGAATAGCAATGATTAAGTCCAAAGCCATTCTACTCTGTTTTGGTTACTACTTTATTCTCCCAGAGCTCACATTTTCAAAGAGACAAAGCAGAGATGCCCAGAGGAGAAGAAGTTTCATTCTAAGAAGCCATAAAAAGAAATGCATGGCCACAGATCGAGGGATAATTTTATGTCTCACATTTTTTCTGACCCTACGAAGAGCAGCTTTAAACTGTTGCTCTCCTCCTCAATTTTAGTGGAGGCTGTGGCAGACACCATAGTTTACAAAATAGAGGGTGGGCATGAATCCTGAAAAAGTAGATCCATAACAAAATCTTGGTCACTGAGGCCAGAAGGACCCCTTGCCTACCCTTCTGTCTGTGGCAGAATTGATCTAATTATTCTATAACTGTTCCTGCAGATGGGTGTCTGGCCTCGAATAACTCCGACAGTGAATGTCCAACGGCTCTTGGCAGCTTGTCCAATTGCCGAACAGTTCTTCTACAGTTTTGCCTAATATTTAACCTAAAACTTCCCTTCTGCTTCAGCCAATTATTATTTGTCCCATCTTTGTTGACTAATGAGAATAATTGATCCTTGTCCTCTTTATAACATTCCTTTATGTTTCCCGTTGTTATGTTCCCCACACTTTACTTTTGCCTTTAGGCTAAAGGTGCCAAGTTATCTTAACCTTTCCTCTTAATCTGAATGCCAGACTTCTTACTATCTTTCTTCCACTCTAAATTCTTCAATTTGTCCACGTTTTTTCATACAGAATTGAATGCAGTTACTCCAGTTATGCTTTAACCAGTGCCAAGCAGAGCGCAATAATTACTTCAGTAACCTTACTGACCTCATCTAATAACAAAGGCAAAATGCAGCATGTAATTAAAATCTAAAAAAATAACTATTTTTAAAAGCTAATTGCCTTAACAATCAGAATATTCTACAGCTCAGAGAACACACACTAAAGAATTTAAAGGTTATTGTTCATTCAAAACATCTTTTTCAATTATATTCCGTATATTGTATTTTGAGCTATGTGCAGTCTTACTCCTATTAGGAATGGTCTGTGCTGCATCTCTCACACTCCCTCCCCATCTTTTTATTTCCTGCAGATTTAACTCCTAAAAGCTCCATGGGGTCCTTTCTACACTGAGGATATTCACTAAGGATTTCCCACTGTGGTGAACACTTCTTCAGCTCCACCAGTATGGCACAGCAGAGAACTCCCACTCATGTTTTTGATCCTTTAGTCTATTACAATGTCTTCCAACTTCGCTAATGTCAGTGGAGCAGAGCCAACAGCGAGGCATTTTTAGAAAGCTTCTTTTACAGGGACAAAGTTTTCATCTCCTTTGCCAAGTCCAGGGTGTCCTACCTTGAATCCCCTTCTCTCTGTTGTCTGGCTGTTCTTTTAAGAGCCCCTCTGTCCTCTTCACATCATCAGCACTGTATGTGCCCATCGTGGTTTGTAACGGTACATACTCCTACCTTTCAGTGGCTGTCTCTTCAGGAATAGAAATCCTTGTCACAACCAGTACAAATGATTCACCATTACTATCAGTCTGCTGACAACAGCCATTCTTGGAAAATGGTTACATGAATTTCTGGAAACCCTAAAAATAAACAAATTTGGCTCCATTAACAGGAATGGTAAATTCAGACTGCAAACCCACTTGACTACGCCAGTGCATTTAATTAAATTGTTTTGCTATTACGCTGATAAGCAGAGATATGACTGTTGCTAGTAGATGTAATAGTTTCTATTCTTGTTGCCTCATAGCACCTTAATTAAATTACAATTGTTCTGTTGGAAAACATGTCTGTGAACACCTCTAGGTAGACAACACAGGAAAATATTCCTAGCAATATAAAAATCAGGAATGTGATATTGCATGGTAGACAGGATAAAAAGGAACTGGGTTAAGATTGCAGTAGGGAAGATTCAGATTTGCTTTAAGAAAAACCCAATTGTGAATCATTGGAATATATAATCTGGATTTTCCCATACTGAATTATCTTCTAGTACAGGTTAAATGAACAGTTGACAGGAACGACACAGGCATAATTGGTCCTGCTTTGTTACACACCGATAACTGAGGTTGAGGACCCTTTCATCTCTTTTTCTGTATGGTTGTGCTTTGCTTTAAATTTCTAAAAAATGAAGTAAATTCCTGCTCTCATTTACATGCATCTGAGCCTCTTATATTCTATAAAGTCTGTAAATTTACAAATGAGATCAGAATTTGGCTTCCTATAAAAACACACTGTAACATGCCAGCAATTGCTCCATAACAACGAAAAGAGCAAAGGACCTTGTTATATAGGTCTTGTCGCTCAACCAATACATACAAGGCAAAATAATCACTGCTTTTATAGCGAGACCTCATCCAAGTGCATGTGTAAGACCTTCCCGTATAGCTGAGTAAAGTAACACCTCCACACATTTCCACCTAGAGAAGAGGTACCTTTGGAGGCTGAATGAAATCAAACAGAAATATAACCTGCAAATTTACAGTGTGCAACCAAGCACTGGTTGTAGTCCAGGCAAACATGAACTTCAAAGACCTTTTATGTTTGCATGGTTCTTTGGCAGTTAGGTATTTTCTTCCTTCATTGTTTATTACGGTGCTCTGGATAGAGATTAAATTTAATAGCTCAGTATTTTTTTCTTTTCCACTTATCTTGAAATAAGATTTGCACACATATTTGTAACTAGATTAAAAACTGTCAAGTGGCTTTTTAAACAATTCTTAGTGCTTGCAGAAGAGTTGGTCATGGCCTCTTACATACAACTACTTCCCTGGACCCACTGATCCCATCCCACATGAATAAAGCTTTACCTTCTTTGTCCAGAATTAGAAAGGCACTTCTGCTTAAAGTATGCCAGGACACAAAATCCGCATAGTATTCCACTAGCAAATTCTGCAATAAGACTAAATTTAAAGCCTATTTAGGTCAGCTAAAGGCTTGCCATAAACTCAGTGAGGTTTGGGACAGGCCCTTAACCTACGGGTCTTAAGGACAGGAAAGCCTCCATATACATGATAGTTCTTTGGGACATCACTGAGGTCAGCAGAGGTTGATTGACTTCAGCAGATCACTGAGGTCAGCAGATGTTCAGTGTGACAAGAATTTTATGCTGATCCAAAGCTATCAGAGAAATAAGAAGATGGGAAGACTGAAGAGAGTGAGTCCTCCCCACATGTCATTCACCTGCAGGCTGTCAGTGCTGTAGTGACCAGAAAATCCAACCAGGCATCCCTACTCATCCGTGCTGTGCTTTGGAATTGACTAAAGAGGTCAGCACTCCCACATTGTGTAGAAATGATTACATGATGTGGTTTTTATTTTTAAAATAAATTGAAGATTCCATACCCTAATTCACACAAAAGCTAACAAAATATGGTGTTATTTTAATGATGTACAAATCAATATTATAAAAATAGGTAAATATTTCCCTTGGCAAGAAAATATCAATATCTCATCCTTGTAACATGCAAGTTTTATATTTACACAGGGTAAAGCGTCCCACATTACCATAACGTGTTAGTAGCATGAAATTTTTTTATCTGCCATGTCTTAAACAAAGCTTGAGTTACTGTCTGCAGTGCCCTTAAGCTATATACCATAGTCTTCACCAGATTGAAACAAAACACATAGAGCAGCTAGCAGTAACCACATTAAGGTTTAATGCTTATAAACACAGAAGGTTTAACACTTGGCAAGCCAAAATTCCCCTATGACCTGAAGACATGCAGATCATGACCTGAGAATTAAGTGCTGTGTTAAGCAGTCAAGCTGTCTCCCTGAAGAAAAGACAAAAATAGCCAAAGACTAGCTGAGCCATTGGGTTGGCATATGTCAGCTGCGACCAGGCCCAAGTCAGAGTCGATCTGTAGCCATGTGGGGCCAAGTCTGACCTAGTCCAGCCTTTCCAGGCAGGGCTTCCTAAGTAGAAGGATTTTCAGAGGCACTCAACACCCGTTGTCCCCACTGACCCCCAGGGAAGAGGAACACTAAGCTATCATGCAACCAAGTCTCAACAGAAAGCTTCCGGTATTAACTGGAGGGGGAGAGACAAAGTGAAATTACTTTCCCCTGTGTATTCCTAACCATGAAGATGCCCTCTTGCCTGCCCTGCCTCCTTCCAAGGGCTTCTTCTAAAAGCAAGTGCCACAGTCTTGAAAAGCCTGGGGATAGAGGGGGAAAGAGAGGAAAGAGGGAAAATTTAAGTGTGAAACAAAGGGTTTGAACTAAATGTTTAAAGATAGATAGGTCAGTCTTTGTATTAAAAAAAAAGGTCTTTGTTTAAAAAAAGTGCAAGGCAGAGAAGTTGATTTGGGAAAGATGAAGGTCAGCAAAGCAACAGGTCCAAACATTAGAGATGAAGAGAAGGAATGCAGCAAGAAGAGGGGAGTGTTGAACAGCTGCCTGGGGGATCTTAAAAAGGATGCTCAGCATGCTCAAAATACTCTAATTTTGCCATAGTACATCTGCTTGTGCCAGATTCCCACACAGAAAAATCTCAGTGACATGAGACTGACCTGGCTATCATGGTTTTACTTCTCTTGCTTTTTTCACTGCAAACTGTGTTTAGCTTGTAAATACACAAGTTTTCTATTCTCAAGTATTTATTGCATTCTTCACAAATTAGTTTTGGGAGTTGGTCAATATGAAGCTCATCCATGAAGTTACTATACAATTCCTGTTGGATTAAAGTTAGACATTTCTCTGTTTGTTGGTAAATTGCCAAATGCTGTTACAAGTAACACTTAATTATAATAAAATTGTATTCAGGGTCCAAAGGTGTTCATTAAAGAGAGATGTGTATATATATATATATACACACTCACACACATTACTTAAGGCAACAAAAGAATCCCATGCTGCATAAGGCCTTCTCAAAAGGCAAAATTTCCAATCTGGAGGGAATCCTGTTATTTCAACTTTCATTTCTATTCTAAAACAGGCCAAGAAATCAAAATATCAATGAAATAAATTGGTGGAACTCAAATATCAGCATAATTTAGGTTTGAAAATGTCAGTAGACAAAATGCTGATGTTTCCAATTGAAAATGTAATGGTCCCAGGCTGAAAAGTCCTGGAATCCTCTTCTCACATGGATAGAAATCGACAATATTCTTCTAGAAATCCATGAATTTACATTGGTGGAAGCCTTCACATGGGTCATAAAAAATACTTAGAATTACAAGCATTTGATAAAGCCAAGTGCTTTGGAAAGCTTTACACTTTCAAGCTTCAGGGCATAAAGCAACCTAGGAATTGGGAGGAAAACCTCATGGCTCATTCCCATGGCTGCTATGGTGGAGGCCAGGGAGTCACACTGCCCCACCAGGGAGGTGGAGAGCACGGCTGGTGGTTGCTCAGTCTGAATGCAGGAACATCTATATTCTCTTTGTTTAGCAAATCCTGGGGCTAGTGCATACGACTTGTGAATGGCAGGGTCCAAACTGTCTGCTGGGCTTCCCAGGCCACTAACAGACTCAGGGAGGAGGCAGCAGCCTGCTCTGCAGTGGGAAACACTGGCTGTCAGAGGCAGCCAGGCAAGCTCTGGCAACATGCTCCCGAGGAAAGTGGAGACAAACTGTCTGCCCAGCACTCTGAATGCAGAAGTCTTGGACCCATGAGCAAAGAAACTCTCTTCAGATGCTTGACTCCTCTCCAGGGTTCAGGAAATTAGAATTTAGATATATTCATTGTGAGGGATACAAGGTGTCACTGAAGAAACCTGCTCTTCTGCTATCAACTGCTCCTTTCAGTGAAGACAACTCGAAACAACTCCTCCTGTTTGGGTCTTTACTGTCTGGGTTTTTTTGAACAAGATTCTTTCAAAAGGTCATAGCCTTCAGATTACAAGTTAATCTTTAGCCAGCTGCTTAATTTTTCTTAAAAACCTGGTACTGACCATTACTGGGAGGTGTTACTTTGGGGAAAAAAACACGGACATTCCCATGCAAAGCTCATTTTGCAGAGGACCTGGAGACAACTTAAGCTCTGCATGAGACAGACATCAGCAAAATTCCCAGCTGACTTCTGATAAAAAAAAACAGAAATGGAAGCTGAGTGCTGCCATCTCTTCTAAGAGTGGGCCAAAGTGTGTAAGGACATTTCCACCACCTTCTCTGAAGGTGGTCCCCACATCTGGAGCAGCAGAATTACAGTGATGGGAAGCTGTGGTCTGGTTACCATCAGGCTTCAAATCTAGCATGCAATAAATACTATAAACCTCATAGAGTTCAGACCTGAGCATCCAAATTCTGTACATTCGTTTGTCCCAAATCTAGTGAGTTTAATCTCTGAACATGGTTACAGTTTGTGTTTGTAGAAGCTGGTTAGGAAAAGAAACAAGAGTGACATCTGCGGGCACTTACTTATGGTTCAGCATTTTTAAAAGTTTGAGATCACACAATTTGATAGTATGTCATGCAGTAATGCTCTAAGGATTAGACCACAAGGCAAAAAAAAAGACTTAAGGAAATTAATGGCCCAACTTTAAACTTGAGAATTTTTAGAGGTATTTAAAAAAATTAAAACCCCATTGCAAAAGAAGAAAAACTGTTTTTTCCAGAGAAACTAAGGTCACAGTCCAAGAAAGAATTCAGAATACACTGAACCAAGACTTTTCTTGATAACTTCAGAACTAAGTTGAAAAAAAGCATGTTGATTTGTCCCCAGTTATTTATATTTAGTTAGGGGTAAATAATTTCAAAGACAAATTCAGTCACCATCTGAGTGAGACAATTCAAAGGAAGGGTCTGTCAAAAAGCATCCTGTAGAGTGACCTGCATTGTTCATTTCTGACTCATTCCCCGATTCCACCCCAGCAGTCAACCTCCCAACAAACTCCATCCTACAGTCTTCTCTAGCATCCACAGTGATTTCATAGAGTCAGTCATAATGGAAGTGCAACAAAACTGAACTTCAAGTCATTGAACCCTCACACAAAATACGGACAGCTTTTTCCACATAATTCTACCAAAATTTTCCAAGTCTCAGGCTAGGGTCTTGGCCATCGGATTGTCTGCCCAGCACTAAGAAACAGCATCCATTTCAGAATTATTGAGAAAGCTGGAAAATCTGGAATGAATGAAATAACTTGTGATCAGGACAAAAAGGAAAAAAACCCTCAACTTCAGAAATCAGCTGAATTGAGCCAAAATTCA